TCAAGTTCTGAAAATGATTCATCAGATGTGACCTGGAGTTCTTGTTCAGAGCAAAGAACGTCATGCTCTCTATTGTGGTTGGTTTTTCAAATGTTTTTCTACAAATGTCATGATTCATAAGCAATGAATTTGAAAAACATGAAGCGATAATTAAAAGAGTTTGTAAACCATGGGACTCCAACTTCAGCAGATGTGAATTAAACATCTTCTGCTTTAAGGTCAAGTTGAGAGGAAACTGTGGTCGTGCGCTTTATTTCCCCTTAAGTGCAACAGTCTTGTTTTCTCAGTACCTCCAGCTTCTATTTACAATGAATATAGCATCTCTGCAGCGCCGCGCAGACCTCACAACGCGCTCCCACAAACGGGAACGCCGCGAGCATAATCGCCCCTCCAGATAGCGCAGCCCGTTTACCGAATCTCTCCCGGCTCTTTGTGTCCTTCAGCCGGGCGAAAATGTTTTACAATAGAATGACGCACTGAGATAAACCAGCGAAAACACTGCAAACACACCACGTCTGACACAACACGCGTCATGTGCAGGTCCGATCAGCTGATTTTTTAGGAAAACGTGGCCCGCAGCAGCTCGGCAGGCAGCAGCAGCCCCCCGCCGTCTCTGCATTCCTCCCCCGCCAGACTGGTCGGCTCCAGCTAGGTCCTGGAGAGTCTGCTCATGTGACACCTAAGATATAAGCGGTGACATGCACACCTACGATCACCTCCCTCAAGTGCACCTCGTACTTTCAAAGGCAATTGATTCTCTTAGTCGCGCTTTCCCCTAAATGCCGCTCACCTCCACGTCGTGCTTGGATAAGGCTGTCCCACAAAAAGGCTTCAGATACTGAGGAAATTGTCAGTGTTTTGTGTTTTATTAGCCACGACAATCCTCAACGTCAAAGTGGAGCACGCGGCCAGGCTCGTGCCCCCAGCAACACTTCCACTCAGGTAATTGGCCCGTGCTCAGCAGCTGATCCAAGCTACCAATGCAACAGGCAGCAGCTGGAAACCAACTGTGCTCGGCATTCCAAATACAAGGTGCAAAAAAAAGGCCTGGAACAAGTCGAGAAAGCCCGGCCGCTTTTCGTTAGTAGGGAGGTATATTGTATCATAGCACAACGCCACAATAATATTTCCTGCCCCCCCCCCCCCCACACACACACACACTTTTCTACATGCCAGTTGAGATGATGGCAGAGTTTTGAGGAACAGTCGATTAGATGTGTTCCCACCCCCCCCGTTTCATGCTGCCTGAATCTTGACAATCCCCATTTAGCCGTGCGCTAATTGCAGGCTGCGTATGACTAACATAAGGCACCCAGAAAATGACTGATGGACCATATGTTTCAACTCGCTGTTCTAATGAATTAAATGAGCCGACAGCCTGATGAGCTGTAAATTTAATAGATGCCTTTCAGAATATGCCAATCATTTCTAAACCCGACGAGGCCACTCCACCAGCCCACTATTGCCCTGACACCGTCTGTGAATTCCTGCGCAGGTCGGCCAGCGCTTTGAAACAGACCCCGGCTTTCTGTTCCCTATATCACCGAAAATTAAGATTTTGATTTAAAATGATCCACTTTTAACCGAAACTTAGAGAAAAGTAAGCGTGCACTGTTAAGGTGATGGAGGCGTAACAGGATGGGCCCAGGAAGCTCGGCTCTGGCCGGGGTTTGACCCATCAACGTGTCCGTTGGGGTCATGGCGGCCATCCTCGTCCTCCTCACTGTGAGCCCGTCTGCCTCCGTGTGTCCGACCCAGCGCGAGAACGTGTACACGCCGCGTCTTGTCTATGTGCGTCATCATTTCCCACATTCAACACTTTCCCTTGACAGATTTGCCTGTAAGCTGAAAGGGATTGAGATGAGAATCTATCAGATCGCAGACACGGGAGCCATGGAGGCAACGAGCCATCGTTCACGCTCGCAGGCCCGAACGCTACGGCGTTGAAGAATTCCCGACCGGGCGAACAGTGTTATAGTAAGCGATACATCTCTCACGGGAAACTCGAGCTCCCGAAGAGGGCATGGCTGCTGCTATAACGGCCCAGAGGGTCCATTTTGGAGATTGACGCGTACAGAAAGAGGCATCCCGCGCGTTCATTAAGCCGGCGTCATCGCAGCAAATTGGCAGTTGCGCGAAGGGTCACGCAGAGTTTACACCCTCCCAGCTGTTTATAGCTTCCCAGGGATCCGGGCCATTCCCTGGGATGAGAAGTCCCTTGCTGGTCCGCTCGTGTTAAGATCAGAATCCCCCACCCACCTCTCCCCGGCAACAAAAATGGCCCACCAGCCTGCTTGCCAGGCTGTCTGGCTGTCTGTGTCGGTGTCATTGAGACGTGCCCGGTACTTCCAGTCTCTCGTATTTGTCTCAATGTACAATGACCCATCATTACTGCCATGTCAAGGAGATGGAGGCAACCAATCATTTCAGGCCCAAGAGGACAGGCGCAACCAATCAGGTTTAAAATCCCCATGGTAACTTGTGCTGGAAAGCCCCGGCACAACCAATAGGAGCGGAGAGCGGCACTTTAGCTATTAGAGTTTAATGGCCTGTTTCTGTTGTCATTAATAAAAGCGTGTAACCTCTGCCATGGAGACTGTTTTATTTTCTGTGGACTGCCCAGCGCCACAGCAGAAAGAGAGACACCCTGATGGCATTCAAAAGGGCAGAATTCAAGGAGACATACGCCACGATGTTCACGTATCTGCCCGTCCACCGCTCGCATCTGCCACGGCGCTCCAGCCGCTTGTCAACAAAACATGTTTTACCCTTCAGTCTCCTCTACCTCACTGGCCAATCACCATCGCTTTGACTTCATCCATTTGAGCACAGGCATCACCATTAGCCTAAAGTAGGTCACTCCCGGCCAGAAGGGAGCCAGACTCAAGTTTGCATGGTCACTACCTCTCCCGTTTTTTTTTAAATTTCGTTTTTTTCAGTTCAGCCTGCTTCTGCCAGGCTACTTCTTATGTGCCATGCACTAAATTTTGTGTGTGTGTGTGTGTGTGTGTGTGCGTGTGTGTGGTTTTTCTTACTCTGTTCCTTTCTTATGTAATGACTGAGAAGCAAGCAGTGTGTGTCATAGCCGTTTCCATGGCAAGAGTAGCCGAGAGTGTTCAACAACACAGCATGCATCAACCTTGGTCACCGTGCTGAGGAAAGACTGAAGCTTTTCTGTTGTACTGTCTATTTCTCTGTCTGGTACAACACGGAGAAAAAACAACGTATGTCACAGACCTCGCTTTTAACCGGCAAGAAGATTTAGCAGTGCTTGTTGTTTTTTCCCTCCCATGATGCAAAGTGTATTGCATCTTGAATGCAGAAGGTATCCTCCTATATATTTTAACCAGAGTCCATTAGCTGCCATCAGCTTTTCAGAAGATGGTTGTAATTAATAAGACATTACAGTACTTCTATCAATGATTAATGGCCTTTCATTTAGTGGCATGAAGTTCAGCCTGTTTTGACTCGGTGTGTAAGAGTAGGGGCAGAAATAAAGACGTGTTCGCCGTACGGACGGGAAATAAACGCATCAAATGTCGCTCTGTGATTTGTTGGCGTGTCCTTTTTCCATCTAGGCTGCATTCGGGCATCTTTCATGGTGGGAATGATTACTTATCATCCTCCAATGTAAAACAAAAAACACCCTAAAGTTATTGGACTTGCTCCCAATCCACTTTGAGCAGGTTTTAAGTGAATGTGGCACTTGTTGCATAACATGCCGTCTTTAGGAGCTCGTCCGCAGAGCTCCCATCTGCTGCAGATTCAGAGTCCGGGAAGCCGGCTCTTCAGCGCAGCCGTTGGGGTCAGCTGCATGCTCTCAGTCGATGTAGAGGTGTTGACAATGGCTGTGCTCTTGCAAAGTCTTCCTACGGTTTCTGCTGTTCCTCTTCTTCTTTGTTTTTTCCCTCCTATTCTTTCTTGGAGGATTGATCCAGACATGTGACGTGTTACGCTTCAAAGGCTTCCCCAAAGAGAGGACACGGAGGTAATAAATTGGCATTAAAGCCATATTTTATCACCATGTGCCTCCCCTCAACAATTCGGCGTCCCAAAGATTCCAGCGAGCAGCTTCTGCTGCCTATCAGACACACGCCGGTCTCCACGGGCCTCCGGTCCACAGACACTATTTAGCTCTCAGTAGAAAAAGAGGAAAAGCCAAATCTAGCAGCTCCAGTTTAATGTGGACTCTATATCACTCACTCTGTGTTGAAGTCGGTTTCAAAAATTAATGCTTCTGTGAATTATTTAGATTTGAAACGAGTGAAAAATAAGAGTCTGTTTCACTAATGCCAGACATCCTTCAACCAGTGGCAAGGAGAAAATTGATGCCCTAACAGCATTTCATATGAAATGGCAGCCACAGAAAAAAAACCCAAACGGAGATAAGTGTGTGCGCTCGGTGCCAGCAGCAGCCCCCCCCCCAGCCCGTCGCCTCACATGGCACCAAACAGTCAAAAGATGACTCCTGCTTAGTAAAGTCTTCAGCGCCGTCACGTGACCCTCGGAATTGGCTGTTGGGACGCGCTTCTTCCATTTAATTATTGAGTGGCTCCTACAAACCCACGCAGGTGACGTCCGCGCACACAGGCCCGGGTTGTGGCCGCGAAGCCCTTAATGCGAGCTGGCTTTACTTGGTTTTGTGTAACCAGCGGGTTTTTCTTGGTGCACGCCCGAGCGCGCAGTCTGGTGCTGTGGGCAAAGCGCCGTGCTCTCATTTCGCTCTCTCCGGGGAGAGCCGCGCCATCCCAGAGAAATGATTGAATCTCCATCTCTGCTCCATTTTCGCTCATTTCTCCTGGCTTGGATCAACCTGTGCTCGTGTGCACCGATGCCCACTGCGGCCCTGCGCTGTTGTTGGTCTTTTGTTTGCTTGTTTTTTGTTTTTCTGCCCCTTTACCTTATTATATCAATCTAAGGTTGTTGTGTGAAGAAGTGGGAGGCATGGTCTCAGCTTTTGTGTGCACGTTGTGTTTTTCAGACGCTGATATGCATTGAGGATGAGCGGCGTCGGTGAAAACTCATCTGACCCTGCCAGGGCAGAAGCACGGAAACGCAAAGAATGCTCTGCCGATCTAATAGGACCCAGGTAAGTTCAGGCCTGCTCCGACACACTTCACATCGATCTGGTTTTGCCAGAACAGACAAAAAATGCCTCATAGACACAGATCTTTAATCTGTGGACTTTCTCCTGGCTGACTTAAGACAAAGCTTAAACCTCTGTTCACCCCCTTATCGCCATGCCTCATGATCGGCCCCTTTTGTCCCCCCCCCTCGCCTTGTTTTTGTGTGTCTAGTCCCAAGCGGAGCAACGAGAAGCGCAACCGCGAGCACGAGAACAAATACATCGAAGAGCTGGCCGAGCTGATCTTCGCCAACTTCAACGACATCGACAACTTCAACGTCAAACCGGACAAGTGTGCAATCCTGAAGGAAACTGTGAAACAGATCAGACAAATAAAGGAGCAAGGTAAAAGGCCATGTTTCTGTCTGTGTGCGCGCTTTTAGGGAAACTGCCAATCTGATCGAGCTCTAAGTACAGCTGGGAAAGAAATACAGAAAAGACACACGAGCTGGCAGTTTTCTAGAAAGGTCTGGAACTTTGGCTCTTTGTGTTGGAAAGCCTCGTAAACCACCAAGCGTTGGCTAAAAACCACCTCATGACTTCACACAGCCACAAATCAAAGGTGGTGAATGCGTCGCTGCTTCTGAAAGCCCTCCACAGGCACAGGTGTGGCTGTGTCTACACGGACGCAGCCGACAGTTTCACACACCGTTGTTTATGCTGTCAATAAAAAAAGCAGCCCAGCTGATCTGAAATGCCCCAACACAGCTCCGTCATAACACAGAGCTGTTTTCATTGGCTGCGTCCACCCCGAGTCAGAACCCATCAGGCACTCGGATCACCGTGCACGCCGCTCCCGGCCAATTCCTCCATTCAGAGACTCTGGTTATGAGCTGCGGTGCGTCTTTTTCTTTTGTTCTTTTGATTTTCTCTGTGTGATCCCGCGGAGGAAGATCAGCGAGGCTCGTATCGGGTTGAGGAAAGCGTCATTCTCCCTCTGTAAACATTAACCCTAAGCCAGGACCACACAGACGAGGAAGGAGGCCTCGCTGACTCGTAGGGAGAGAGCAGACAACTTGAGGGCCACGCATCCACGAATCAGACTGGCTGATGGCGGCGTCTCGTTCGTTTGACTCGCAGGGACAGCTGTTATGTAACGGTGAGGGACACGATGCAAGAGAGGCCTCCAAGTGGAGCTACCGTTCATCCGCCCGGCCCCTGCCCTGCCCTGCCCCGGCCCCTGCCCTCTGCCTTTCCTACCTTCCTCTGAGGGCAGTGCTCGTTCCAGCTGTTGAGGAAAGGGCTTTAATCCTGCCTTTTTTCTGTGTCCTCCTCACACCAGTGGTCTATAGGCAGAACAGGGGTCTTCTGCAGCACCTCTTTCACACATTAGGGGCAGCAGCCCTATCCCTCCTTCCGCCTCTTGCTGCACTGGTCGAAGCCGAGCTTCATGCTGTGAGCGGGTGCTTTAGACCGCCACAGATTGTAGCCGAACTCATAAAACGCCGGCTGAAGCTCTGAATGTCCGTCGTGATGGTTTTTCTGTGCGTTGTTGAGTTTGTGGACGTCGGCCTAGTGGGTCGAACCCTCACCCAGTGTTGTGGTCACAGGCTCTGCGATGAGACTGACCTTTCAATTTCAGGAGAAAAGAAAACAATTCCCTTATCAAACATAAAGGGCTTTCACTTTTATTGTACTGTATTTCAGAGAAGACAAACTACTTTTGCCTTCCAAAACTTTTCAATCAAACAATCTAAATGGTTATAATCCCATTTGCAAGAAAGTTTTTTTGTTTTTGTTTTTTTTGTTTGTTTGTTGGGCAATACTGAAAGTAATGAATGACATCTCTTGATACGTAATTTGCGGCTCAAAGTCGTAGTATGCCCGTTACATACAATTTAGCAGTTAGACGTCACAGGATTGTTTTATGGATCCACTCCTCCCTCCGTCTGTGGCAGCGCTCTGCAGACAGACAGAGAGCCGGCGAGGGCGGCCATGACACTGACTGATGGCTCTGGACTCGTGCAGCTGTGTCGGTCTACAGGGCCCCGCTGGGCTGGGATGGGTCCCGCTGATGCACACCTCATTAATGCTGAAAGAGATGAATATTTGTCTGTGGGGTAGTGCGCGAGGCCGCAGAGGGGAGTGGAACCTGCGCCCGTGTCAGCCTTCACGCCGTCGTACCTCCAAAGATTAAGGACCTGAATCTGTTTGCGTTTCACTCTTCTTCTTCTTTATTTGTTTCCTTTTTCCCACCATATGTCCGGCCCTCTTCTTGGCCGTCGCGTGGCCGTTAAACGTGTGCCCCCCCCCCCCAACAGCCCACTCATATTCGGCCTATCGTCATCAGCTCTAAAAGTAGGGCAGCCTGCGCTCTGTACATACGGTCTCTCTGCATGGCTGTTAACCCCATCACATGGACAAACTCAGAGCAATGTAGTGCAGGTGCAGACAGGAGCTTAAAAAAAATCTTACTTTTAAATGGCACTTAGAGATTATTTGTGACGGTAAAGGTTTCCATTTCATTTAGAACCATTTTAAGATATCCAAATGATTGTGGAAGTTAATGCCTTTGTCTTACCCAGGTTACTGAGAGCCTGCTAATGGCTGAGTGGCTGAGACATCTGTGCTTAGAGGTTTGATCATAACCTGGGTTTATTAGTGGCAAAAAGTTCTCTCTCTTAAATTTTGTGCCCTGTTTGAATCATTTAGATTTGCTTCAAACAAACAATTGATTAATTCAAAATTGTTTTCTTTTTGTTTGATTTCATGGGAAAAACTCTGTGGAAGACTTGTTTAGCCACTGTATGTTTCCATAACAGGCCTTTTCTTTTTTGCACATAACAATGTAATCCGTCCAGTGTGCTCTGACACTCATTTACAGCAACCTTTTGCTCTGCTGGCTGCTCTGTGCTTTGAGCCTCGGCCGCATGCTTTCACAAAGAGACCAAACGTGTTAATACCAGATGGATATTTGTTAAAATCCACATCTCTGTCTGTGGTCGTAATGCCATCATGTGTGATGACGGCTGTGAATTGTCTGAATTTAATTCTTGATTGTTTTGCCCTCCATCTCTTCCTTTTCTTAAAAATGTTTCCACCCCCGTGTTTGCAGAAAAAGCAGCAGCAGCAAATGAAGAGGAGGTGCAGAAGGCTGACGTCTCATCAACAGGCCAAAGCGTGATAGACAAAGATGCCTTGGGACCAATGATGCTGGAGGTGAGGGGTGTTACTTTTTTCTTCTTTTTTTATCCCCTTAACTCGTATATAAAGAAAAGGATGTTTCTGAGTGCCGCGCTGAGATGAAGTAGCACAGAACTACTCAAAAGCCTGTACTCCCTCTCTTTAAATCATGATTGGTATATAATGAAGAGTGCCATCCTTTGAGAACAATCGCAGATGTGCCTGTAGTGTTTATACGCGAGTGGTAGCTAGGAGTAAAGGCTTGCCAGCATCTTGTATCTGCTCCTGATTGGCTGTAAATCACCAGGCACAGCAATGGCCTCGTTGTACCGCGGAGGGCCACTGAAGTGCTTACATATAATGGGAGAGAAAGCAACAGCCTTGCGAATGAATCAGTCCATTGAGGCTGTCCTCTCGCCCATTTCCTCCCTCCCTTTCTCTCTCCCTCCTACTTGTTCAGATCTCTGCTCCCTCCCCATCTTCTCTTCATTCGCCTCTAGATCTGTCCTGTCATGGAATATTTATAGCACTCCTGGTCCAGCGTCACTGAATCGACATGCTAACTCGGGGCTAAATATAGCCCAGTGCAGCCTGCAAGCTTTCCCATCTGTCAGCAGCCCCAAAAACGCCGTGATAGGCGTTCACACCCGCTCCGCTCTGTCCACGTCCCCGTCCCTGAGCCCTGGCTCATTAAAGGCCGCTTTGAGGGGAATGGCCGTCGGCAGGAAATGCACCCACACGCCCCATGACCCTCCTCCTAGGCCCTCTGCCGCCCACTCTCATGCAAACACGGAGATGGAGAAGGCGAGGAGGAGAAATTACCATGCTGTTGTTTTAACCTTCTGGGGCAGCGGCGCTGCGTCTCCTGACTGTGCTAACATACAGTTTGCATTCTTGCTGGACCGCTCCATTTGCTGGACTCACAAAAGGCTTCTGTCCGCATGCTGAAACAAACATCTGAATAAGGGCTTAGCAAAGCTCACACTGTCCCCCAAACTGGACTCAAACCTGCTAACATCTGGATTTTCTGCGCAGCCCTGCTGTGTTTATTCTGCATTTGTTGCATCAAATGACTCACCGATGGCAACGCTGCGTGTTGCACGTCCTTATTTGGGGAGGGTGCGGCGCTCGGGGGCTCCCAAGACGACAGCTCGCAGGCCAAATGAGATGAGATTGACCTTTTTTGTGGTTTATCAATTCATTTTAATATGCATCTGCAAAACAGCTGGCAGCTCCATTCCCATGGTGCTTTTTTAGGCTGGCAAGGGGAGAAAAATAAGTGTAATTATCTCAGAAACCGTAGTCCAACATGGCCGCTGGATAACAGTGCAGCGCTCATCTCCTGCGAGGTGGTAGTAGAAGCTGTTAAAATAGCCCAAGTCTGAAATTGCTCACAATGTATTTATTTTAGCTTTATTGACTAGTTCTGGCTTTAACCATCTCCATTGTGTATATTTAGTAAGGGTATTGTGAATTCAGATATTGGCTAACAGCATTATGCAATAGCGTCTGGAGGAAGGCAAGAGCTGGCAAATCGGAGTGCTTTTTCCATTCGGTCCTGTCCTGTAGGTCCTTTCCTCACACAGGATGGACTTGCACAACCGGCTGCGTTCTGGATCTGACGCAGTCCGTGCCATGATGGATGAGATGTCTTTAAGGCTGTTCTCGGATTAAGCCGAGGTTGGGGCGTGCGAGGGAAAAGCTCAGTCCCACTGAGAGGGGGGATGAGATTTTACCAGACCCCCAAAATGTGGCCAGGCAGCCAAGTCGAAGCTGCTTTGACAGTGTCGTTTTAAAGAGGTATCAAATCAATTTTAGTTGTATAATAGGCGATGTGTCAGGAACAACACAACACCTCAAACAAACTGCCACACACTGCTGACTGCATACGGCTTCCCAACCCGACAAGTGTGTGTGTCTGTGTATGTGTGTGTTTGTCTGTGTGTGTATGCGGCCTTTTAGGAGAGGATTATTTAAGCAGACACCGTGAGAGGAGTCTCCGGTGTTTTATCTTGACACCAGCTTTTACAGCTTTACAAGCACCAGCATTCCCTTTAAGGGCTCCAGGTGATTTGATGGCCTAATTGACACCATCTTATGTGTAATGAATAACCTCGGGCGGAATTGTTTCAATTAAGGGCTGATTCTCTTTCATATAGTCCAGTCACTGTCTGTGCTTTTTATCCAGCTTTCTGTCAACTACAGTGACATTTAGCATCTCCCAGATTGGTGCATATACCCTCCAGTCACATTATTTATCGCTTTTCTGTCAGCCAAGTAGTATACACGACGTATTACACTGTATGTGTATGCTTCCATAACTCAGAGACAGCAGCTAGAGATAACACGCCAACAACCAGGACCAACAGAGTTGAATGGAAGTGATGCTGCTGGTTGGCTTTGTTAGTTACTGTTAAAGATGACTTCTCTTTGTGAGTGTAAACGGCAAACTGATCAGGTCTCAACTCTCATTCTTCTCTCCACCAGGCGCTGGACGGCTTCTTCTTTGTGGTGAACATGGAGGGAAACATTGTGTTTGTGTCGGAGAACGTGACCCAGTACCTCCGCTACAACCAGGAGGAGCTGATGAACACCAGCGTCTACAGCGTGCTGCACGTCGGAGATCATGCCGAGTTCATCAAGAACCTGCTGCCTAAATCCCTCGGTTAGCCTTGATCTTATCTTCCCTGGCAACATTTAACTGGGCTGTTTTTTTTGTGGTTTTGTTCTACTTTTGTTTTTCTCTGTCAGGTTCTGTCACACTGTGTTGCTTTCACTCCATTTCCCTTTTTTTCCTGACTCCAGATTTAGACCCCTTATGCTGCATCACTTTAATGTGATGTGCTTCGTTAGCTTGTTTTTAGAGCTTTTTTTTGTTGTTTATGTTTTCCGCAGGTAGATGGTAGCCGTTCATTTATCGGGGATGTGGAATAAATTCAGATGTTTATGGTTGCACCATTGCAGGGAATATGCAGGAAAGCTGGCTCATGGAAAGAGTTGGAGGACTGGATGAAACCCATAGGTTCTTCGTTTTCTCTCTTTTTGCTGATGCTCAGCCCAGACATTTGCTCTCACTCTTCTCCTCTTTCTCTCTCCCTTTTCAGCTAATTAACTTCCTTTTTTGGCTTCTCTCCCCTGTCAGCAGCGCCGCTCTCTTCCTATATTCTCGTTTGCTGCCCTTCCTTCCCCTTCTCTCCACTTTTTGTGTTACTCTTTCGTTCTCTGCCACACACCCTCACTAGGTTCCTATTTTCATGTTCTCACTTTCCCATTCTTTGTCCCACCCTCAAAAGCCCCCTTTTATGTAGAATTCAATCATCTAATGAAAACGGGCCATTTATTTTTGTAAGCCAGTATCTGCCTTTTTCCTACCAGCCTCCCCGTCATATCTTTTCTCTTCCACCCCCACTACCCTAAAACGTCCCACGTCTACACCTCTCCTGCTCACGCTGCGATCGGATCTGTGTGTCACTTCGGTCCGTCAGGAACTCTTAAGTCCTGCTCTCTGTCTCGGCTGGTGCTTCGGATTGAGGTCTGAGCCCCCAACCGTGGGGGTGGGAGCACAGCACAGAGCAGGGCACCCTGGAAATGATCAGTGGGCGCCGTGTCCCAGATACTGGGAGATTATCAATGCGCCGATGAGATCACAAACCAGATGGAGTGTGATGGGAGTTTGCCCGAGTGCGACGAGTAGACTATACGGGCCTCTTTCGCTTTGTGTGTTTATGTGCGAAAGCTTGGCAGCGGCGCTTTACAGGACATGCATATGGAGGCCTGGCTGTGATGGCGAGCTATGGGTGGATGGCACAGGGCTCGGGGTTCCAACTGCTCATTATGACTGATCTCTGCCCAGCAACAGCTCTCCTCTTTTTACACTTTCCCTGCTTTCATTCTCTTTATCTTGCTCTCATTATGTCTTTCAGTCCGGTAGCCTCTCTCGGCTGGCGGCTGCCTCCAGCCTCCGGGTTCCGCTGCTCAGTCGTGACCGCGCTAAAAATCTGTCAAACAAAATCCACCAGGAGGCCACATTGTAAAATGTTCTTTGCCTCTTGTTGTCCCCCCCCCCATACAGTCAATGGTGTCCCGTGGTCCAGCGAGGTTCCAAGGAGGAATAGCCACACATTCAACTGCCGAATGCTGGTCAACCCGCACAGCGAGAGCCAGGACGAGCCGCACGAGCACGAGTCCCAGCAGCAGAAATACGAGACCATGCAGTGTTTCGCCGTTTCAGAGCCCAAGTCCATCAAAGAGGAAGGAGACGGTATGAACGGAGGGAAGAGGGAAGTGGTGTGGGGAAGAGAGAAAGTGGGAGGATCGGTTGACACCAAAGAAGTGACCTTATGAATTAACCTTGGACAATATTATGTCTCCAGTATTTTGAAACTGTTGTTTCTGTGCAGTTTCGGTTACAAGTTTCATGCGTCGTCTTTTGTTTTCATTGTATCTAAACCAGTTTCGGTTGAATTTGTGATGAGGACAGTGAGGGATAGAAAGAGGACTTTAAAAATGGTCGGAGCCTGCAGGGTTTGTAACGTACTGAAGAGCTAAAGTCTTAGATTAGACACTTATCTTTTTTTAAAAATGTCAAGAGAGCATTCCTTTTTTGTCTCCTCTCTGAGAAAAGTCCTTTTTAAAATTCTCTAAACATTTTATTTGAATTAATTTATTGTGATTTGTTATTTATGTAATTTTAATACATAATTTTATGTATTTAATCAAAAGGAAGGTCTTTTCCGTCACGCTATCAGATGATTTAAAACTTCAGTTTTTTGGAGAAAGTGCCTTATAGATTTTATGTTTTAAAAGGTCTTAGTAGTCTTGGTTTATGGGATGGTCAAGCTTGACAATGATGCCTTTAATCTATAATTACAGAAATACTTATCTTTTGAGCCATGATATTGTTTTGATGATGGCATTATTTATTTAAATAAAGGAAAAGTCAAAGCCTTTTGAACTACACTGGCTTAAAAATCCTTTGGCCTTTTAAATGCATCCCACAGGTACCTTTTTTCAAGTCTTTTTGAAATAAAGGCCCTGTAATTAACATCCAAATGCAATGATTCCATGAGTCTTAGCTGAGGGTTGCATAAGCTCTACAGTGAAAGCGTAATTTGCATGTTACTTGATAGTGACACAAGTGGTTATTGTTTCATAATAAGTTCTGGATCCAGACATATGTGCAGGTATTTGATAGGCTCTGGGATTTTCCTGCTGTTTTTGTTGCGTCAGACAGAAGCGTAAAACTTGAGGCTCCAAGTATAATCTATCCTTGTGACTTCTGTCAATCTACAACTCTGTGACCAATTGAGGAAACGAGAATTGCTCATTTAATGTCTCGTTCCCTTTCTGTGCTTCAGCTACTAGCCAGTCGCTGCTAGGGCGGAATAACACTCTGACCAAGGTGTGGGGTAGTTTGTGTGTCTGTTATTGGCGGGGCACGATCAGTGGTACAAGCTGCAGAATTGTTTTCAGCAACAGATGGAGGCAGAAGGGTGTGGGAGAAGTGGAGAGGGAAGGAGAGCAAGAAAATTTATGGCAATTCACAGATTTAAGGGCCGACCACCCAAGAGGTTCTGTTTACAAGTCAAAATAAGAAATGCGTGTGTGTGTGTGTTTGTGTGCAGTCGCCCCTGGCATGCATTTTCCTTGCCAGAAACGTGAGGGATTGTGGGTATTATTGGCACTGGGAAGTTAGACGGCAGACTTTTTGGGGTCACCTCAGTCCCGGGCTTGGGGATGTCATTTTTGCATGTGTTGGAGGCAACTGTCACGATTCAGCAGTGGCAATCTTTTATGTTGGGCAAGGGGAGGTGTCATCAGTGTGAAATGGCACTTCAGGTGAAAGCAGGCGCACACGAGCACACACACACACCCCTTCAAAGGTCACACTTCATCATTTCCCTTGCCAGCTGTAGCTGCTCTTCATGAAAGGAGTGGAGCCCCGATCCCCCATGCTCATTAATAACTGTATTAATTATGCTGGCTGGGAATAACATGCATTTAATTTTCTTCCCCTCCCTCTGTCTGTATCATTTACCCCCCCCCCTTCTCTCTCTCTCTTCCCTCCCTTCCCCCCTTCATCTCTTCTGTCTCTGCCCTATCCTCTTTGTTTCATCCTTTCTTTCCTCCACACACCCTGTCGTTTCTCGGCTCCGTTCCACCTCGCTTCCTCAGACTTTCAGTCATGCCTGATCTGTGTGGCTCGAAGGGTACCCACGAAGGAAAGGCCCATGCTTCCCACGCATGAGAGCTTCACTACACGCCAGGACCTGCAAGGTACAACCAGTCACTCGCCCAGAAGCGACAAAACTAGTACAGCAAGGATTCCTTGATAAGATTTAGCTCTCCGTGAAAGACTAATACTGTGTCTTTTCTAAGCCCCAGCGCCACCTTATCCCACATCTCTGGCCTATAAATCACCTCACACTACATTTAAGTATTTAAAGATTATTATATACTTGGGATTGAACAAGTTAGTTGAGCGAGCTTTCCATCTCAGCCTGCACTTTGGGAGGTAAAGTGCCTGTGTGATCGCGGCACGAGGATGCAGACAGTTGTCTGTTTCACCGGGTGTTTGATGTGCTCACTGTATGTGTGGCACGCACACACACACACACTCTCTTAGTCACTGACATGCAGTCATTTACAGGAGTTTCCCTCCCACTCTGTACGTATGCATCTGCTCATTTGCCCGTCTGTTAGCACCACACACACATCCCGATAATTACCATCATTTGTGCTGCGCAAGATTCAATGTATGCTTTTGAACTCATAGCTTTTGGTAAAACACTATATTAAATATAATGTTCCCTCTTCAGTCTTTTCTTCCCCCTCCTTACAACAGTTCAGTATAGTGCTGTGAGTGACTCTTGTTTTAGACGGTGCTGTGACAAGTCTGTCCCTGTAGCTGTCAGTCGAGCAGCAGTGTGTTCGTCAGCCCCTCAGACGCACAGCAGCCTTCATTTGAAATACGCTCCAGTGAAGGGAAACTCCTACTGTTATCACTGACTTTTCCTTTTATCTTGTATAACCCCTTTCAGCTCCAAATAGAAGTTCAGGCCTTTATTTAGTTCGGAATCGTCTGTGCTATTGGTAAGGCTTTGTTGACGAGATAGAGCTTGCATACACAACTGCACTGCTATGTTTCTCCTAAAGAAAAGGCCTCGAGGACATTTAAAGCAATTAACTGCCGGAAAGTTTGTCAAAGTGATGAATAGCTGTACGAACAGCTACCTGAACAAGCTTGGGCTTAAAACTTCACATTTCCTGTACAGTAACTAGTTAGAAACCCCTCTCAGTTGAATTGAACAGTAACTGTCCTCTTCCTTTTATCTGAAAGAGGGAGGTTCAAACTACATGCAACAGCTTACAGGTTTGAATCAAAGTGGTTCAGATAGAATGGAAGTATGAGTCAACAGGCCATATGACAATGATAAATCCTTAATGTGTTTATATCAGCCCCAACTGAGAGGCCCAGGGTTCAACTGAATGTCAGTTTTCTTTTTTCTTTTTTAAATGGAATTAGTTTTCCTCCCCCTAGCTATTTTTCAAAAGTTCTTGCAGAATGCATAGGTTGAAGAATAACAGTTATATCTTTCATTTTTCAGTTTACTCTCTGAGTCCATCATTCCGTTAGAATAGGTTTGACCGCGTAGGAAGACACCCTCACCTCCCTGTCTGCTCACCTGTGCTTAGGTAAGATAACCTCCTTGGATACCAGTCTGCTGCGAGCGTCCATGAAGCCGGGCTGGGAGGACCTTGTGAGGCGCTGCATTCAGAGGTTCCACTTACAGAATGACGGAGAGATGTCCTTTGCCAAGAGACACCAGCAGGAAGGTAATGCCACTCTGCATGTTAAGTAACTTACCACCGTACAAACTAGTGGGTTCCTTTAACGAAAGCTCTTAGACAACAGGCTGGAGTTTGGGGGATTCATGCAGGCGCCACTCCGCTGCTGTTATCACACAGAAACTGACTCAAGGAAGAAAGCTTTTGTGTACTCACTAAAACAAGAATTGATGTGTCTACAGTGCTCCGCCAAGGCCAAGCTTTCAGTCCCATCTACCGGTTCTCCCTCTCCGATGGAACCATCGTCTCAGCTCACACAAAGAGCAAACTGGTGCGCTCACCTGCCACCAACGAACCGCAGCTCTACATGTCCCTGCACATTCTACAGAGGTATGACTGCCAACATGCTAGATGTTAGCATGCGTCAGGCATTTTTAGAGTTTCATTTTAATCCAAAAATGCATTTTGCATTTGCATTTAACTAAACTTTGCAAAGAGGCTGTCATTGTTAAATTAGGATTAATATCTAGATAATATTTTGCTCAACTGATCTCTGGAGACATTTTCCAAACAATCAGCCCTCTCCAAAACAATCCACAGAGAATTTGCAACCCCTAAAGTTTCAAATAAGTTGATGTACTTGTGATATTTGTGAGGTGCTATGTGGTACGCTTTCCATTTAAGTGGACATTGTTGCTCAAAATAAACCAAATATTGGTTTGTTAAACAACTAATTTGATCATGATTACTCTGTGAGAACAACAAGTGTTGTATCAATCTTCACGTAATGCTCTGAAACCTCCAAGTTACGCATGTGGATTGCATAGTTGATATGGAATTTTATACTGCCTCAGTTACATGTATATATATCAGTTTATTAAATAATACTTGTGTATGTTCACATTAAACACAAAATGTTAACCGTCAGTTCAAATGATCTCTTTCCAGTGATAAAGTTGTAATAAATGTTGATATGTGTGTGTTTATGTAGGGAGCAGACAGTGTGCGGAATGGGTCAGGACATGGGTCCCGGCAGCCAGGCAACAGGAATGGCCAAACCAATGAACTCCTCCACTCCTTCCATGACGCCACCAACCCCAGGCAGTTTGCCAGGTTCGGGGCCTCAGGGCCAAGACACTACTATCAGCAGCAACAGCACGCCTTTCTCCCCCCCTGGCCCAGCTGGTCCCAGAGAACCGGCAGCCATCGGGGGCCACATGCAGGGCTACCGCTTTGGTTGCCCGCCACCTCATAACCACACTGGGGGGATGCAACCCCCTCAGCAGGGCTCCAACTGGAGGATGAACAGCCCCTCTCGCGCCAGCCCCAGTCCGGCTGGAGGGCCGCACCCACCTCAGCAGAACTCTATGCTGTCCCCCCGACACCGAGGTAGCCCCGGAGGCGCCGGCAGCCCTCGCGTGGCAGGGGGCCTGCACTCGCCCTCCCCAGTCGGGATGTGTGGAGGCGGGCCGGGAGGGGCGGGCAGCAGCGCGGGTGGCGGCCATGCTAACAGCTACACTAGCAGCTCTCTGTCAGCTCTGCAGGCCCTCAGCGAGTGCCACGGGGTAGGACACGGCCACGGGCCCCCGCACGCACACACACTGGGATCTCCAGAGCGCAAGATGGGCTCCCCAGCTGGGGTCACCCCAGGGTCGGGGGTAAACGCCCACCTGATGTCAAAACTCGGAGGAGGTAGCAGCGCTACTGGTGGAACGGGGGACTTTGGACCTCACTCAGAGGTCGGTCAGGGGCACCCCCAGGCCCAAACGGAGAGCAGCCAAGCCGAGCTGAAGGAGGAGAGGGACGGGTCACTGGAGGGCCACGACGCTCACAACCGCATGCATGACAACAAGGTTAACACCAAGTTACTCCAGCTGCTCTCTTCTAAGCCAGAACCTCTGGAGACGCCTCTGTCTCCCGGCGCCGGAGGCGAGGGCAAGGACCAGGCCGGTTCAGGGGTCCGGGGCAGCCACGCCGGTGGGAGCACTCATGCCACCTCCCTCAAAGAGAAACACAAAATCCTCCACCAACTGCTTCAGAACAGTACATCTCCTGTGGACCTTGCCAAACTCACTGCGGAGGCCACTGGCAAAGAACTGGGCCAAGACCAAACACCGGGCGCCGGTAGCACGGCTTCTGGGGCAGAAATCACTCCCAAGCCTGAGCCACTGAGCCCCAAAAAGAAGGAAAATGCACTGCTGCGCTATCTACTGGATAAAGACGACACTGTAAGGAAGGACAAGGTCCCTAAGCTTGAGCCCGGGGAGGTGAAGATTGAAGGGGGCAAACACCCGCAGGTGAAGGCTGAGAAACCAGATGCCGGATACGACCGCGCCGAGCAGGTCAGTGCTTCTCTGTTTGGCTGGGTCTTGTTTGCTGCGTCAGTGCATCTTAAAGGTGACGGAAGAGGTAGAACTCAGGGACTATTGTGAAAAGCAAAAGAGGCTTGTGCTGCTCTACTTGTCTTCTTACCCTGAGCGTTAATCTGGGTTAGGTAGCAGATGTTGGCTGCTCTAAGTCCCACGTCCATTCAGGATGTTACAGTTACATGCACAAATGAGCGGTGCAGAGTGGAGACGGCGCAATGTATTCATAAGTGTACGGATTTACAGCCTTGTCATTCACTTTTTATTAAGGTATATAAACACATCTGGGCCTTTCACTGCCTTTGTGTTGGCAGCACAGGCTGAGGGGAATCTGTCCGCCAGCTTCAAACAACTGTGACATTTGGAAAGAGCCCCTGTGGTTCTTCATCCATTTGATCCCGGTTTCATTTGGCCAGAACCCTCAGGTTTGGCAGGGAGCTCCGTCCAGGCCTGGCGCTGAAAGAGAGAAAAGAGTAAAAAGGGAGTGAGCAGGAGGAGTGTTTCTGGTAAAGCTCAAACATTTCTGTGCAGCAGACGTCTCAGCAGAGTTTTGGAGAGCGACCTGCTGATGCCCTAACCCAGGAAAGCAAACCACTGCTCAGCGAGACTCATAAGCTTTCATACAGGAAACCTGTGTATGGCACGCTCTACTAAACGCACAAAACACAAGTCTGCAAATGTCATTCCATCACACACAGCTCCACTAAACCACAGAATTACATAGAATTACACCAAATTACACAGTGTCTCTCATTACCTTCCTCCACCAGTTACATGGTCTTATACATGCAAGCTTTTTAAATGTGAGCGACTTCAAACGGGAGTCGTATTTTTTTTGTTGTAATGGATGGTCGTCTTTTCATAAAAACGGCGTGGCAGAATCCAAACTTATTGTCTGGAATAGCCTTGTTTTAAGGGACCAGCTGACATTTAGAGCCATCTTTTTCGCTTTCTCATACACTCTCCTTTTTGGTGGCGCATTTTTTGAGAAACTGCTTCTCATGTGGGGCACATAGTGTGTCTTTGCTGTGCCCACCAGCTCTGCGTGCACACTATGTGCCTCCAAGCTTGGGGTTCTCTGGGAAAAAGAGGGGAAAAGGCGATTGGCTGGATAAGAGGAGACTCTATTGAACTGAACAAAGACGGGGAGATGAGAGAGGTGTAGATACCCCCAGGAGAGCCCGGCCTCGGCATGCAGAGTGAAAATGATGAGCCATATGCTCCTGCATGTCCTCTCTGCTGCCATGGAGATAGCAGGGAGAGGGAGGGGTGCTGTTTGTAGAACATACACGAAACAAAGAGAAATAGAAATGTGGGTTTAAACGTGGTCCTCGGCGGCGTAGGTTTTATTCCGGTGGCTGTGCGTTCGCAGAGCAGCAGAATCCATGTTAACAGTGCCAGCGACATCCTTGATTTCCCCCGTCTCGCATTCAGATGGTGATGATTAAAACACTCATTGCGTCAAACGTGGATGGCTCATTATAGTGTAACAGATTTCACTGATTGGCGGGGGGGGGAAGAAGGGCATTTGTTCGACAAGGACTGAGGCATGACTTCATTAGAGCTATTACATGTGTACGAGTGGGCTCCTCTTCCTTTCTGGTGAGTCGCTGCTTGGCCATGTGTGAAAGCCGGCTGTACTAGTTAACCAGAGTCCTCTCATCCTCCTCCACCAACCTCACCCTCCGCTTTCTCGCCGACTCTTCCTCCCTTCCCCTGCCCTGCCGCTCCTCGTGATTGTTTGAGGGTTGAATAATTGATGGTTTGGGCAGAGCCAAATGAGAAATCAGAACACAGCTAGGGGTGCGCTGGACGTTACAGCCGGCGAGTAGACGGGCTCCCAGGCGACCGGCGAAACGCCCAGCGGTTGTTTTCCAGGCGGATGTGACCGAGCGCTGGTGATGATCACTGCTAATCAGCGTAAAAGACCCTGCGTCTCAATTCAGCCAATCCATTCACTTATCTTTTTGCCATCTGCCAGTCCCGACAAGTGTGCCAGCCAGTCTGCCAGAAGCCGGCGTCTTCATTCTCCATATGCTGGCTTACAGCGGCAGCAGAGTCCAGCTGCGTGGCATTCCAGCTCCGTCGCACCCGCCAGGCCCGCCGGGCTGCCTCTGCAGCCAAAAGCGTCCCTGACTCTGCACTTAGGCAGGTCTTTGCACACCAGGTCTGCTCCTCCAGATCCAAACTTCACTGTAACATTTCCGTCAGAGAGAAGTGCGTCCACTGCTCTGCGATCACCCTGATGCTGCTTCCCCAGAACTCTGTCCTCGACATATATTCTGCCTCCCTCGTCAGACACAGAGAAGTGGCGTGTAATTTGATCACAAGTAGAATTTTATAGTCCCTAATTTCCTGACAAAATGGATGCAAGATGCAGGCTGACAGCAGCTGTAATGTAATTCTGGACTCACAAAGAGCTTAAATGAGCCATCGACATCAAAAGAGCCTCTAAGTCTTTTGACTCTGTCAATAAAAAACTTTAAAAGGTGTAATTGATTTTCATAAACCAAGAGTCACACAGCAGGAGTTGGTGTCTGTTGGCTCTCAATCATAGGCTCTTAGGTCGTTGGCTGAATATGAAACAAATGAGTTTGATCATTGGTTCACCTCTACACAAAATTCAAGCAAATGCAGGCTTATGCATCTTTATTTGCTTATTGAATAAGAAATAACTTTTCCTCATGTTGTGATCAGTTGATAGAAGCAGGCTTCAGCGGGGTGACTTCTGCTTGGCTCCATACCAGTCTTTCAGTTCCCTTTCCTGTTGACTAGGCCAAGCTGGGTCAGAGAGACCCACACCCCTGTGGAGTCCACCCCGACACCGTACCGATGCGATGCATACAGAATGACCACAGCAGACTGTCCCTAAATGTTTGACTTTCATAGAGTTCATGTGTCAGGGCTTTTTTCTTTGACTGGTTGTGAGAAAATAGGAGTGAGAACGTCCAATATCGGTGTCATATCAGCATTTGACTGTTAATTTATCCCCCCACCTAAGCCCTATACCCAGCTTTGATATCCATATTAAATCGCGATCTGGGAATAGAAAAGAGAAGAGATATGACAATTTAATTGCCTTTTTTTTTTTTTTTTTTTGTTAGATTTTCGCTTTGGTTTTTTATAATGACTGGGTTTTGCAGAAAAGGAGGACACAGATTACATGACATGCTCAGACATGCATTGAAAGAAGGGGGTGACGAGGATTGATAGAAGTAGGATCCATTAAAAGTAAAAACTACAAGAGAAGTTGAGAGAATAGAAAGTGGGAGGAGAGAGAATAGGAGAGGAGGAGGAGGAGGAGTGCAAACTGAGTGTACAGAAGCATTACATCATTCCTGACCTCATTAGGGCTTTTCTCTCCCACCACCACCACCACCACCCCACCCCTCACTCCGTTACTCTGTAGCTCTCCTACATATGCAGTCTGCTTGTCTGCTCTCAGTATTTCCAGCACTGTGTCGCTAAGCATTTCGTGGTTTGTGTAAGGAGGAAAATTCAGTCTGTTTAGATTTAACTGCAAAGGTCTAAGAGGTGGGCACGATCGGGACTTTAACGGTTAAAGGTCCTTTCAAATCTGTCATTTTCTCTCCTTTTTTGGGGGGGGGCAGCCTCTTATCTTTAGCAGCAGTTAAAGGCCCGACAAATGCACGCCATTGTGTTAAAGTCCAGCTCTGAACAATGATGGTGTGCTGCTCTGCTGCTGTACAGTACGATCAGATGTCAGTCACTCCCCGAATGCTGCCCTCTGCCGGTCAGATCCAGCCAGTGCAGCTTATTTATCCAACGCAGACCAGACTTCAACATTTGTTTAGCTCATTTTTTTTCTTCTTATGTCACTGATGTTTGTCAATTGCCATGGGGTGATAGTTTAAGGGTTTAAGCTGTTGTAGGTATTTTTTTATGAAAATGTATCTTAAAGGGATTCCTTCATTTTCACTACATTTCTTATGAAAAAGGCCCTGAAGTGATGGCACTAGTGTTCCGTGACAAAAAAGGGATTTTGTTTTTAAAGTAAAACTCCAGCTGTTCACCAAGCAACTGAAACCAGGTCTTATCGTTTAAGATCATCTGTGGGAGAGAAAGAAAAAGGAAGAAAAATTGTCCACATTCCCGTTTTGAGTGAATGCAGCCTTGTTTGAAAATTCAGGCTCACTGCAGCTGTTTACAGTGACAGAACAGAGGAGGCCAGGCTTCTACACCTAACAAACTCCTGGCACTGCTTACAACAACATGGTCGCTTGGCAGAAGACATCTTTTCTCATCACATTTTGTTTCTGTTTGCTCACTGAAGCGGGAGTAACTATAATGTTTATGATAACATGACGTTCTTTGTTGTTTGCTGCTAATTGGAGACAACAAAAAGGTTATCAGTTGTAGAATAGTTTGGAAAAAAGAATCTCCAGTTTGTTTAAGATGATATGGAAGGTGGAGAACGTTGGCTGAGAGTCTTTGACGGAAGGTCAGACTTTTATGTTGTTGACAGGCTCTTCGGGACAGTTTTTGGTCAGTGTGTGCTTGTCACATGCATATTTGTGTATCTCTTTTTCTCCAAGTGAGGCACTAATAGGGTTGTAAATGGAAGCATAAATGGCTAATCCGTTTCTATTTTTGCACTTCTCTCTTTTGTCTCTCTGCCCTCCAGTCATCGGAGCTGGACGACATCCTGAACGACCTGCAGAGTGCTCAGCCGCAGCTCTTCTGTGAGCCCCGGCCCGTGTCGCTGCCCAGTCCCATGGACAAACAGAACATCATCAATGACATCCTGCAGATGTCCGAGACCAATCCTGCCATGGCGGCGGCGCAGCAGCAGCAGCACCGAGGCCTCGGACCTGGCATGGGCCCGACCAGTGAGTCCTGCTCCAACTCACAAACACAAGGGCACAGCACCAAAAGCGTCCTTTGGATGAATTGGGCATGAGACAAAAAGTCATTGTGTTTCTTGTTTTCTGTTTTTAGACTTTGGGGGTGTGCGACCAGGCCAGCCAGGCCGGGGAATGCCTGTGAGGAGTGTGTCTCTGGATATGAATGTGTCCCCTCAGCAGCCCTCATTACAGTATCCCATAAGAGCCACAAGCCCATATACTCTTATGCAACAACAAGGCATGGTGGGAAGTCACGGTATGATGCCAAACCAGGCCGGCATGGTAAACGCAGGTAAGTCTGTTAGCTTTTGTGGTCTCTTCTCATGTTGGGAATGAAACTGAATCAGTATTAAGATGCTCAGTTTAACAGTAAAGCACAAACATCTCCACAGTGAGACAGTTTCCTGACATTTGCAGACAGGCTCTTCTGTCAAAACCACAGCGGCGTCCTTTGCTTTAGTGTGTTGACACTTGTAGCCACTTCCAAACTCTGAGGAAACTTCCTTTCCTCTATCTGTCTCTCACCCTAACTTATCACATCATGACAGTGACTCACTTCCTGTCACAGGAAATTGTCGCCCACACAGGCACAAAGTTTCTCTCGCTGTCTCTCCCACATATCAGTAGTCCTCCCGTATCTTCCGCCGGGGTATAGATGGCTTTTCCACTTTCTTTCCACTGGGGCTTCACACCGTCACATCATGGGGACTCAGGAAGGCCACTGAAATCTGTCCATAGACATCTCTCACTGCTCCTCATCTCCTTAATGCTTACTCCACTAGGACTGATGGCTGCGGGGGGTCCTCGGCCGGGCATGCAGCAGCAGGAGGGCTGGGGGGGGTCAGCCTCTGCACCTCCTTTAGGAGCGTCCGGACCTGGCCAGCAAAGTGCTATGCAGAGCAGGATGGGACCCAACGGTGCGCCCATGAGAGCCAGCAGCCAGCCGGGGCCTCGTCCAATGCTCCACTCACCAATGATGTCCAATGGTGAGAGCTCAGTGAGGCAGAGATCAGGCACCCGCTCCATTTAATGAAGCAGAGGCTAATGCTCGGAACAGATTTTAAAGTGTGTTGGTATGGAAACCTAGAATTTAGCCTGAACCATAACTCCAAGTTTAGTTCAGTGCATCGAATGCTGGTGAGACACGGCTGAGAAGCCCCTAACTCAGCTGCTAAGTGCTGCTTGTGCTGTAAAGGACGACACCTTGTGGTCATCACCAGAGCTGCACAAGCTAAATCAAATTCCTATACAAATCCTTTTCCCTCCTTTTTTTTGGTTTTTTAAAGAAACTTGTCGGTTTCTATTTTGTGTTCCCTAATGTATTTGGATTGCTGTGTTAGCTGTTTGTTGCGTTGCTTAACTTCTTGTCTGTCTCTTACCTCTAAGCTCAACCCGATATGGACATTGGCATCGTCGGCCACCATTTTTCCCAACAACAGGCTCCACCCAACCAGACGGCCCCTTGGCCCGACAGCATGATGCCAATAGACCAGACAGCGTTTGTGAACCAGAGCAGGTAAAGCTCTTCACATTTTCCGTTTGTTTGTGTTGAAATCCATTTACTTTGGTCGTCCTCCATCACTTTGAGCCGTAAACACGCTCCTCTCTGTGCAGGCCTGCACCGCAGGATGAGCTCCTCTCCAGCGCAGGGCTCGGCTCAGGGGATGGCAGCTCAGTGGACGAGGGGGCCCTGATGTCCCAGCTGTACACGGCACTGAAGGATTTCGACGGGCTGGAGGAGATCGACCGCGCTCTTGGAATCCCTGCTATGGTAGAACAGGTGCTCCTTCTATTCATCCGATCATTTAATACAGCCTCTAACATAACACTGTTATAACCGCTCTACCTATGGCTTGCCGTTTCAGAGCCAGTCATTGGAACCAGACCAGTTCACCCAAGACCCCTCCATGATGTTGGACCAGAAGCCCCCAATGTACACGCACCAGCAGTTCGGCCACCCACAGTCCCACATGGCACAGAGGGGCTACCCTGGCGCTCCCATGCAGGAGCCTGGCTTTCACCCCATGTCTGGCCAAATGGGGCCGCGGCCGGGCTACCCCATGATGAGAATGCAGGCCAGGCCTGGACTCAGGCCGGCCGGGGTGGTCCCCAACCAGCCCAACACACTACGCCTGCAGCTCCAGCACCGACTGCAGTCACAACAGGTGCAGCACACACAGAGACATGTCGCAGAGTCGTACTGACTCCGGAGCATGATGCAATCCCATTCTGTTATCAGCAGCTGTGCACCAGAGTACACAGATTGGAGTTTTGTAATTGCCCCGGAAAGTTTGGCAGGTCTTGTGCGCACACATATTTTTTGATTAGTGGGTCGACCTGCTACCTGCAGGTTTTTCAGAGCATTTTCGCAGAAGCTCTGCAGCTGAAAACAGCATATTTATTATTGTATCTTACTGTACTTTTTTTTATATTTTTGTATTTCTTTACTTAATGAAAATAGCAGACATCTTTTAAACAAAGTTTGTTGAATTTCTTACGCATTTTATTTTTTCCTGGCAGAACCGGCAGCCAATGATGACTCAAATGAGCAGTGTGTCAAATGTGAACCTACCTCTTCGAGCCAGTGCTCCAAACCAGGTGAATGATCACACCCATCTCCCGGCACGTAATGACGGGAGGTCAGGTTTAGTTTACCACTGATTCACACCGATTCCACAATGGTAACCCTAACCGCTGTGGTTCTTTGTGTGACCCCATGCCTCCTTTTTGACGGATTTTCCCTCCCACTTCCAGGGAACCATTAACGCTCAGATGCTGGCGCAGCGTCAGCGGGAGCTGCTGAGTAATCACCTGAGGCAGAGGCAGCAGCAGCAGCAGCAGGTGCAGCAGGCCCAGCAGGTCCAGCAGCAGCGGAGCATGGCCATGAGGGCCCAGGGCCTCAACATGCCTCCCAACATGGCCGCCGGAGGCATGAGTAACCCCAGGAACCCCCAGGCCAACCCCCAGCAGTTCCCCTACCCGCCCAGCTACGGTACCAGTACAGGCCTGGCCTCGTCACCTCCCCCCACCACCCCCTTCTCCTCCCCACTGTCCCCCAGCCTGCCCCCTCTCCCTCAAAACCCTCAGCTCCACCTGCATGGCACCTCCTCCTCTTCCTCCACCTCCTCCTCCTCCTCACAGATGATGATGGGAAACACAAACATGATGGGCGGACAGTATGGGGCCGTACTCAGCCCCCAAATGCAGCACAGTGCCTTTCAGTTTCCCAACTCAGGTACTGCTCCCACTCCCCAGCCAACCACACCCTTCACCCAACAACATCTGTGTGTGTGTGTCTGTGCGTGCGTGTGTGCACGCGCGTGTGTGAGTGTGTTTGTGTGTGTGTGTCTGTACCATGGTGTCTATGTTGTGGCTCTGGTCTCAAAGCAACACCTGCTTCTTACACAGTAACAGCAGTCATCCGGTGTCTAACATCACATATCGATGAGTGCGTTGATGAGCTGCCATTAAGGGAATTCAATCATGCTGCATATGTTCCCCCTTAGCTTCTATTTGTCAGTAAGTTGATGCCTTGTGTGCCCAAAATGGTGTCCTGGCTGTATATATTTCCTCCACTAGAGGTCACCAAGAGCTCAATAATTCAAGCAGGCAGCACCCGGCCTAGCTTTGGGCTGCACCCGCCAGTCGTGATTTATGATTTGCGTGGAATTTTTTTTTAATGACACGTTTTATCCACCTCTCACTTCCAAACCCTAATTAGGCCCGTGGGTTTGTACAGAGTAGAAGCTTTCTAAGTCATTATTTATATCTATTTTTTTTTTTCATCCCGTCCCAAAAAGCAACATCCCCCCCCCTCTTTCTTGTTCACCGTCTGCTCACCGTTTACATGCATGTAGAGAGTATGACCCAGCCGTCAGTAACCCCGAATGCAAACTAGAGCGTGTAGTCCCGCCGTGCACTCATCCTCACCCGTGCCCTCACGCTGAGTCTGTCCGTCTTCGTTTGGCATGTGGCTGTAAACCACGTGGAGTGTTAACATCAGCCGGTGGGCTGCTCTGTGGCCGAGCCTCTGCCGGCCCTGGTCAGGCTGATCTCCATGCGTCTGCCGCAGGTATGAGCCAGCAGGCGGAGGGCAGCTTCGGAGGCCCCGGCACGCCGCAGAGCCCCCTGCTGTCGCCCCGCATGGCGCACACGCAGTCCCCCATGATGCAGCAGGGCCAGCAAAGCGCTGCCTTCCAGGGCTCCCCCGACATGAACGGGTGGCCGCAGGGCAACATGGGAGGCAGCAGGTAAGGACGACGCAGGCGCCCGCCATCCTGCAGAATGCAAACCCCCTCTAAGCTCAGCTCTTAGACGGTTCATCTCCATCTCCCGTCCTCTCCTCAGTATGTTCTCGCAGCAGCAGGCGTCCCCGCAGTTCACCCAGCAGAGTAACAGCAACATGTACAACGGCAACGGCATGAGTCTCAACAGCGTCTCCATGGCAACCAACATGGCAACCAGCAGCATGGGCCAGATGCCTGGGCAGATGAGTGCCACATCGATGGCATCGGGCCCCTCGCCCGGCCTGCCTTCCATGGGCCAAGAACAGGTAAGCCCCAACAGGCCGGGCCGGACTCTCAGAGTGCTGACTCAGCACGTCGCCCCAACCGAGCACCAAGGGCCGGGGAGGGATTAGGGGCACCGGCCGGACTAACTAGCAGGTTTGGGAAGCACAGTTTAGCGTGTAGTCTGAAAGAAACCGTCAGAAGAACAGGAGCTGTAGGTTGGGCATAGCAGGAGGCGTTCACAAGCCTGTAAAGAGCAGACTGATGATGGGGAAACGAGATAAACGCTGCCGGGTTGTTTTTAAAGACAAACTGAGCCCTTTGTTTGCGTGCAGGAATTCAGAATCCAGTGGACTAAAGGTCGGCCATGTGTTAAAGGGACGCTGGAGTGATGTAATGATTATTCTGCCTGTGGAAAATAAAAGCAGTTCTTAGACAGAAGCAGCTTAGAGGTATAATTGCTTGGGGTATACTTACTGTACAGTCTGCTGGTGAATAATTTACTCAGCAGCTTACGTAACTCCTCTTTCTAGACTTCTGCCACTCGGCCTGAGCTGAGGAGGCCGTGACGTAATGAACTCCAGGACTTTTCAGAGCCGCGCCACTTAGGCCGAATGGGCTCCGGTTAAAGTTCCGTCCAGCCGACGGAGCCCTGAGAGCAAAGGGCCGTTCACTCAGATGAGTTACACGTCACCTCCCAGATGACTCTAAATTCACGGCGCTTCTTGCTCGTTTAACGTCGGCCAACTTAATCCATCTCCCCTCGTCTCTCCGGCATTGTTAGCGTGGTGTCTGGAATGTACTGCTGTTGACCGTAATGCTTTTAAGCCAGTAAAACGCCATGAATATTTAACCAGGGCGCTGCCGTTTGATTGTCTTCACCCCCGGCTGCCGTGTATATCTGTCCCTGGATTTACCACCCGTCCGGGTTCATAGAAAACTATTGGCACTTAGATTATTTCAATTATTTACTCTTAGGCCATTAGTGCATGCATTTAGGATTTACTGAGCTGTTTCAGACCCGCTGATGTGCCCCTCGGTGGCGTGCAGTTGTTTTTAGCGCTTTGGCCGGTTTGCCCCCCCCCCCCCCCGCCCGTGGAGTTCAAGTTCGGCAGAAAGCGGCGCCCGCAGCCTCTCCTGACTAACGCGTGCCGTCTCTCTGCAGAAGTACTGCTGACCATCATGAAGCCTCTTAACATGAACCTCAGCGATCGGCTGGTGCGAGGAGCACGTCGGGCCCTTTAAGAATCCAGAATTCGAACACCCAACTAACCGGCTGCCCCTTGAACCAGCCAGGCCACGTCCTGAACCCACCACCACCACCACCACCCTCTCCTCTCCACCTCTTTTGACACCTTCCCCCCCCCCCCCCCCCCAGCCCCAGCCCCGGCCCGAGTCCGGCCGGGCTACGAACAGACACAGGTGTATGCAGGAAGGCTGGGGAAGGACCTCTGTCCGACATGCCTACGCTCTGCTGGAGGGGAGCCCCGTGTGACCAGTGGGTGTCTCTGCCTGTCCGGCTGCATTCACCGTAGTGTGACTTACTGCCGGCCTCCCGGCGGGGGGCACACACTCACAGGGGGGGCCGCAGTCGGTGTGGGATCTATGTGCTGATGAATGTATTCCTCTCAGTGGACAGCGGCCATTTACAATCTCATCTAAGGAAAAGACAAACGGAAAAAAAAGAAAGAAAGAAAGACGTACACTGATTCTCCCTCCTTCTCCGCGTCCTACTTTTCTCACTCATTTCATCGTGTTTCCGAATGGATTTGAAGACTCCCAAGTTTTAGGTTCAAGATCCCGGATGGAGCTCAGACACTTAGCCGGTTTTGCCTTTTTGCTGTTCTTTATTTTATTATTGTTATAATTATTAGTTGTTGTTGTTTTTGTTTTTGTTTTCCTTTTGTGAAAATCAAGACGTACAGTGAAGACGTGGTGGAAAAAAAAAACAGATCTTGATTAAACACTGCAGAAAAAATGGTTTAAGTGGAATTCTATATTTAGACTAATTTAGTCAAGAGGTTTATATAGTGTATTAAATTAAGTTTTATTTTTCTGTATAGATTCATTTTAATTATTTTAGATGACTCTTTATCTTAGTAGCAGGAAGAAAATTTCTAAAAGTGTGAAAGAGGCACTTTTTTTTATCATTTTAACAGTAATGGTTGTATTCTTTCTGAAGAGATTCTTATATTAACCTGAATTAAGGATTAGACTTCAGTCCTGTAGTTTCAGAAGATGTCAGAATCAAATATGGTTTAAAATGAATTGCAGAGATTGTACATACCGATGAATAAAAACTTTTTCTTTCCTATTTATTTTATTCCTTAGGGGTTTTATGTTTTTCCACCCTGGTCTCATCTGCCTCTTGGAAGCAGAGCGGTTGCTTTTCCTTTTTTTTTTCTTTTTTTTCTTTTTTCCCCCAAGTTGTTTTGGGGGCTGTTCTGGTACGACGCAGACGGGTGTGGGTGGGAGCAAAGGGGTGTGCTGTGTATACAGTGTACAGATTATCGCTTGCTTCTCTGCCTTTAGCATAGAACATGACAACAGAAGAGAAAAAAAAATAAGAAAACCAAACAAAAAAATCATCTCAATACAGCCATACATAACTTTTAAAAAGAAAAAGTATAAAAAGTGTGCTTTCTATGTTGTCTGGAGTGAAAATTGCTTCATACAAGCTGCTAGGTGCAAACTGTTCTGGTGTGATGTAAACAAGCAATAACAATTACTTGAGAATCTCTTGGGGTTTTTGTTTGTTTTGTTTTTGTAATTTTTGTACAGTTTCCTGAATAAAAAGGACACATTTTTGCTCTGCGTTTGGATGCAGTATTAAACACCGTTTTTTATTGCAGTTTGTACCAAGAAAGTCTACATCTCCACACAGCGTTCCTGTTAGATTATGCAGCGATGGCTGAGATCTGGAGAGGGAGGTAGTTTATCGCCGCACGCCCCCCCCC